CGAACGTTGGTGTCTCCCTAAAATTCATATGTTGAGACCTAAGGTGACCCAAGGTGATAGTATTGGGAGGTGGGGCCTTTGGGAGGTAATTAGGTGATGAGGTCGTGAGAGTGGAGCCCTCAAGAATAGGATTAATGCCCTTATAAATGAAGCCCTTATAAATGAAGCCTGTGACCCAGAAGAGGGCCCTCACCCGACCATGCCTGCACCCTGATCTCAGACTTCCAGCCTCCAGAACTGTGAGCAATAAATTTCCATTGTTTATAAGCCACCCAGTCTATGGCATTTTGTTATAGCAGCCTAGTGGACTAAGGCCATCTCTTTGGGCTTTAGTTTTCTACGTGTATAAGGGTTGAACAAGATCTGTGGTTTTCACCTGGGAAACTTGGCAGAGGTGTGCGGGGTTCCTGGTTCATCTAGGGCAACTCTGCTTTGGCTTATTTGATATCGGGCTCCAGCATAAGAAGCATGGACAAGGGTTCTTCCACCAAAGAAAGTTTAAACATATAGAGAGAAGTGCCCAGCCCAGGCAGCAGGTACTGCTGAGCCAGAATCTACCCACTGGGATGCTGGCAGTGTTTGGAGAGGGAGAGAGGGGGCACATGAGGGTTGTGGCAGTCAGGAGGGGGCAGAAGGAGGCCTAGGTACTGGAAGGCTCCATCAGGCACAGGGAGCAGGGGTGGCCTCATATAGCTGGAGAGGTCACGGGGAGTGGGCTTGGAAACATCAGAGAACCAGAGCTTTACCTACCAGACCCAGGAGCCCAGGCCTTCTCCTTGTCTGCAGTGGGGACCAGAGGAAGAAGCCTCCAGCTGTCACAGAGACAAGCATTTGCCAAGTGCCTGCTGTGGGCCAGGATTGTATAGTACTGTGTCAGGAAGGATTCAGAAGTGTAGCTGAAGAGATCCGGCCTGGAGCAGGAAGCTCCCAGACTCATTCCGCATGGCCCCAGGCTGTGTCCTCACTCACTCAACAAGCTGATGTGGTAGCCAGCCTCAGAGGTGACCTCAATGATCTCAACTGACCTCCATGATCCCCTCCTCCTGGTGCATGCCCTTATGTAGTCAAGGTGGGAGGGCCCACATTGAATAGGGTTGACTTGTAACCAATAAGACATCAGAGAAATGACAATAATTTTGAATTAATAAATGAAGATATTAGAGAAATGAGTGTGACTTTTGAAATTGGATCAAAAAGGACATTGTGGCTTCTTGCTCTCTTGAATCACTCACTCTGGTGGAAACCAACTACCATGCCATAAGTACACTCAAGGAGCCCTGTGGAAGGGCCCACATGGCAAAGGAACTGAGGTCTCCTGCCGACAGCCACGTGAATGACTCATCTTAGAAGTGGACCTGCCAGCCACAGTCAAGCCTTTATATGACTGCAGCCCTGGCTGACATTTGATTGCAACCTCATGAGAGACCCTGAGTCAGAACTATTCCACTCAACCACTCCCAAATGCCTGATCCACAGAAACTGAGATAATTTATATTCATTGCGCTAAGCCATAATGTTTGGGGATACCTTGTTACCCCAAATCAGTACAAGTGATGCTACTCTGCACCACGCCCAAGACACGGGCCCCACTGTCATCTGCTCAATGGACCACAACAATAGTTCTTCCCTTGTCTCCCTGCCTCCTGTCCCAAGCCCCTTCAATTTCTCCTCCACGTAGGATCCAGACCAAACTGAAGGGCCATTATCAAAAAACATTTGTTGTTCCATCACAGTCCTTGCCTGCTCAAAACCTTCCATGGCTCTCCACTGTATTTTGTGTTATTTCTCAGAAGTATTTACAACTGAGCAGGAACAGTGTGATGGTGGAGTCCCTGGCATCCCTGAGCTGATTTGGGAGCAAGAGTCCTTGTTTACCCTGGCCCCCTGGAATGACAATTCAAGGCCCCCCTGGGGAGGGTGGGAGGGGCCCCCTGGCAGCTGGGGCTGAGACAAGGCAGAAGCTTTGTTCTGAATCCACAATGGCAGGATGCCCAGCACAGACCCAGCTTCCTCCAAGGCGGGTGAGGGGGTGGGAGCTGGGGCAAGAGCATGCCCTGGGGCCCTCGATGTGCAAGGGAAGCCTGGGGGTGGGGGCAGCAAGAGAAGCCTTGGGAGAGGAACTGGGAGGCGTTTGTAGTGAGCCAGTCTGCTAACATGGCTCGAGGACCTGTTAGGTTTGTGAAATAAAATTCATATCTAATGGCAAGACAGGATAAACCTAAACATATAAAATTCTTCTCTGCCTTTTGGCCTCCTCTCTCCCCACACTGTGCATTGTGTATCTGCATTTATGCATCGACCAAACCTCCCCCATCAGCAGGAATACCTGCTCAACCATAAAGAGCAACATTCTTCCAGCATCCAGGCAACTCCTTAAAAGATAACACCCCTTCCTGATCTTGTAAGGGGTCATATGACCCACTACGATGATGCTTAGATCTGGATTATGTAAACTGTCAATAATATGTCATTTGATGTACAGCCCTCTGTCTTAAAAAAACCTTACATAACTGTGCCTGGTCTGCTAACAGGCGGAACGGTTCTCAGAGCTTTCTGAGATGCTCATCCTGGGTTATCATCCTCAAATTGGCTCTAATAAAATTTCCGTTTCTTTCTTAGATCGACTGGTTAATTTTTCATCCACAAGTTTAAGGCACTGTCGCTAAGCACTGGGCATGTATGTTAGCTCCTGCCGCCTCCCAGAGCCAGACGGGTGAGGCTCTGCCGCTGCCCCCACTTAACACGCAGAGCCACAGGAGGGGAAGACTCCCGCCCAAAGTCACACAGCTCAGACACACCAGGGCTGGGGTTTGAACCCGGGTCCAACCCCTGCTCTTGACTGGTATTCTCTCCCGCCTACTCCATCCACACAAGGCTCTGTGCTGGTGCTGGGAAGACAGCGGTGAGCAGGCAGTTCTGAGAGTGGGATGTGCTCAGGGCCCTGCCTGGAGAGGTGCAGGGAGCTGGCGTGAGCTTTGTGGCTTTCAACCCAGCCTGGCATGAGGCGGGGGAGGGGTGAGGGTAGGGAAGAGACACACACACACACCCCACCCCCCGCCCCCAAAGGAAGGTGACATCTGTTATCCAGAGATCGCTTCCCAGCAGGGACTGGGCACAAGGAGGGAGGCTGGGGAGGTGAAGTGTCTCGCACAAGGAAACAGAACAAGTAAGAAGCAGAGTCCAGAGGGCCGTCAATGGGAATCACCTGATAAGCCCTTCCCTGTGAGTATCCCTGTGAAGCCGGCAGAGACCAGACAGGTCAGACAGGTGAGAAAGGGGGCCAGGACACAAACCCAGGCTTTCTGACTGCCAGGCCAGTGCTCACTGTGCCCACTGCTGGCAGGGGTGGTAGGGAGGGCTTTAACTCTGACCCTGAGGGAATCACCTCAATGCTGGGTGGCCCCCAGGTCAAGCACAGCTCCAATTCCCCCACTCTGCCCCCACAACTGCCAGGGGCTGGCTCTGATCTGATGGGAGGCTCACTCTAAAGCCAAGCATTCCCTGGGGCCCAGGAGCCAGGGCCAGGGCGCTGCAGGAGGCTCCTACTATGGCAGGGGCCTCCTTGAATGGGGAAGGGTCCTGAGGACCAAGGAGGCCCTACCCACCTGAAGCCATTCATCCTCTGTCCTGTCTGGCCAAGCCTCAGTGCGGAGCCCGGAGGTATCCAGGCTGCACCGGGACGGGACTGGGCCGGTAGCATCTCTGAGTCACAGGGAGGGTGGGTGGTGAGTGACTCAGCCTAGGACCACTTCCCCTCTGCAAGACGGGCCTGGGCTGAGGCCAGAGCCAGGAAACCCTGCGCCTGTCCTGCCCGGGCCGGGTGCCTCCCAGGCCCTCACTGCCCCCACCTCCAGCCTGGGGCTGACCCTCCATGCAGCCCTGTCTACCACTGGCTGGCACAGCAGTCCTCCACGAATTCTGGCTACGTGAAGGAATGCATGATTTCTCCCTGAGTCCCAGGCCCCCGAGACCCCAACCCCGGCCTGGTCTAGCTCCCATCCTCCCATTTTCCAGATGAGCCTAGAGCCTCAGAGAGAGTGGATGACTAGGCCAAGATAGGGACCAAGCCCACTGGCCCCATCGTTCTCTCTCCTCCCCAGGCCCCGCCTACCAGGCTCCTCACTGGAATCCTCTCCACGGGGATCATCAGCCCATTTTGTAGATATGGAAACTGAGGCTCAGGGAGGGGAGGTACCTACCCCAGGTACATAGTGAGGCAGGCAGAGCAGGATTAGGCCCCAGGTCTCTCTAACCCAGGCAGGGACCTTATGGTTTTTAACAGGCAGCCCCCAGCAGGGGCAGGTAGGTGACGGGAGTTAAGTGCTTACAGCCAAGGGAAGGATGAGACGTGATGCAGCTGAGTTGGGCCAGCCCTCCAGGTGCCCCCGCCCCCCAGTGCTCCTCCTTCCATGGAGCCACTCGATTCCTTGCCCTCTGCGCCCACAGCCCTGGGCACGGCCCCTCGTCCAGGCCCTTCCTTCCTCAGGCTTCTTTTTTGGTTTTTCTTTTAGAGGAGGGTTGCATGTTTGGGTTTTCACCCCCAGGCAAGGGTTTCGCCATGAGAAAGGGAGAAGCAGACGTAGGAAGTGGACAGCAGACAGGGGACCAGCACGTGCAGAGGCTCCGGTGGGGAGGCTTGGGGTCGGGGGTTGAGGGGGGTGGACCTGAAGGAAGCAGGTGCAGATGGAAGGTGGAGCCCAAGGAGGGGAGAGGGGAGAGGGGAGAGGAGCCTGGTGAAGCTGTGGGGCCAGGCCCTGAGGGCCCTATGGTCTGGAGTAGGAAGCTCTGACCTTGTCCCAAGAGCAGTGTGGAGCCACACAAAGAGTGTGTTTTAGGAGATGCCCCCGGGGCTGCGGGAAGATGGCGTGCAGGGTCCGGAGCAGAGGGCTGGGGTGGGGGCCTGGCCAGGCCCCGGTTGGTAAGGGAGGGGGTCCTCGTTTCCTTGTGGGCAGCTGGCAGCTATCGGCCCTTGGCTGCCACCCCGAGGAATGACACAGGTGTACAAGCAAAAATAGTTTATTTGAGGACGGAAGACCCAAAATTGGGGGGCCCAGGGCTGAGGCCACAGCAGCTGCCTGGAGTTGGCACAGACGACCCCAACTCCCTAGGGAAGCCCAGCAGCAAAGAAGCCCTTCCCTGGGCCTCCTAGCTGCCTCCCAATTTCTTGGAGGAAGGATTGTGCGACCCCCAAGAATCATCATCATCGTCACAACACGGTGAGGTTTTCAAAGTTTGGCCAGCAGTTTTCGGCGCAGTAGTTGATACCAATCGTAATAATTACTCCGACAAGCACAGTGACTGTGCCGGGCTTGGACCCACCATCCAGTGGTGAGTGGGGTCTGTGATGAGGAGAGGCAGGCAGGGACAGGAGGTGGGTCTCTCTGGGAGTCCCCATTCCAGCCTCCAAGGTGGCCCTGCAGGAAGACCCATCTCCCCCGACAGCCCCAGAGGCTGCCCACTCTCCCCGTTTTCCCATGGCCACGGGCCAAGGCTGGATTCAGGCTGAGGCAGTCCCGCGTGGTCCCTGTGCTCCCTCAGGTCTCAGAGACCCTTGCCAGGCTGGTCTCTCCGCCAGAAGCCCCGGCAGGCAGCCCAAGAAGCCACGAGCTCGCAGTTGTGGTAAAGGAACATTCCTGAAAGGGTGAGCGCAATGCCCACATAGCTGAGGGTGCTGAGGCGGCTGCCGAACAGGAGCCGGGAAAGGATGAGGTTGCCCACGACAGTGAGGTTGCCCAGGACGTGGACAGTGAGGGCCGAGGTGAGGGCCAGCAGGGAGAAGCTGGCCAGGTTGTAGAGCACAGACAGGAGGCAGCTGAGCAGGATACAGGCCCAGAGGCGGGAGTCGGTGGGGGCGGGCAGCGGTGCCACGCCAGCCTCCAGCACCAGGGCCGCGCCTGCCAGCAGGCAGAAGCTGGGCAGCGAGGTGGCATACAGCAGGGTCACCGCATCCAGCCTCTCCTCCTGCAGCAGGGCACCTGCAACCAGGACAGCAGCCATCAGCACCCGGCACGAGACAACCCCCACGAGGCCAACCCGGCACAACCTCCTCCTCGGCCCATCCTCCAGGAAGCCTGCCTGCCCCAACCCCTCAGGCGGAATTAGTGGCTCCCGCTCTGTAACGAGAAGGTCAAGAATCCAGAGTCAGACTGCCTGAGTGGTGACCCGGGTCCGCTCCTGACTACCTGTGACCAGGCACTTAACCTCTATAGGCCTAGGTTTCCTCAACTGCAAAATCGGAGGATAATAAAACCTTAAACATGCAGGGTTGTTGTAAAGATTAAAATAGATAATGTACACAAAGCCCTTAGAAGGTAAGTGCTCAGTAAATGTAAACAGATAAAACAAATAAGCGTTATCACCTACTCCTCCCACAGGCTGAAACAATAATCTGCTCGTGATGTCCCACTGATCAATAAACGTGAAAAAAAAATTCTTCAGGGGCTCCCCAGGCCCTGGAGAAAAACATCCTGGGCTCTTAACCAACTTTGAAGGCCCTGAACCAAGCGGCCCCGACCCAGCTCTCTTGGCTTCAGCCCTTCTCGCACCCTCAGCCCCACAGTGCAGCTCCCATGCCAGAGTAGGGACAGGCCACCAACAGGCCAGTTCTGCCACTTACTAGCTATGTGGCCTTTAGCTTAAAAAAGATAGAGAGTTTGAAATAATAAAAACCGTTTGAATCAAATGTTCGATCACTTATGACCATTGAGATGACAGGGAACAACAAGGTCATTGTTTGCTCCCGGCTGTCACTCACTGTTTATCACTGATAATCAGCATCTTTTGCTACCAACGCTGGGGCTTGTCAAGATGAATCCAGGACACAGAGGAAACCTTAGTCTTTGCAAGGAAAGAGGGGATCCTACCACCTTGCACATGTGTGCCTATGTGTGTGTATTCATATTACCACCCAGCTGGTTCACAAAACCAGTGGTGCCCATCATAAAATCACACCCGGCTCAGATGAAATGATAGTACTTGCATGAAGGCAACGAGACAGTTTTTGTGGAGAGAGATGAGTCATGGCTCCCCATCCCCTCCCAGGGCTCTCTGAGCCTCTATGCATTTTCTGACACACACTTTCCAAAGAACCACAGAGGTGCTTACTCATAGGCTATGCTTAGAATAGGAAATCTTATTTCTCTCTCCATTTCATTCTGATGTTTTGGCTTTGTTCTCTAGGCAACAGTCCTTCTGTCAAGCATTTCTAGAAATGAACAGATAACTGGAATGCCTCCTGTTCGTCCGCTCCAAATTTAGCACCATTATGAGCTGCCTGTGGCCTGCCTGTTAAAGGTGCGATCACTGGAAGGTGTTTAGGATTTCAGGTGAACTTCACCTTTGGCAAATTTCACCCTCTGAGAGGCAGCCAGGCAGGAAGGTCCTAACTTCCTCCCCCTGCCACTTGCTCCTGTTCTGCATCCCACCCAGCCCTCTGCCTCCCTCTGCTGCAGTCCAGGGAAAGAGCAGGGATCCTCTGACAGAGGCCACCCACCCGGGGCCCCAAAATGCCAGCCTGTCATACTGCCTCCTCAGCGACCCCTCCTCTGCCAGCTCCCACCAAACCCTGCATTTCAACCTCTCCTGGGACTTCCCTGGCGGTCCAGCAGTTAAGCCTCTGTGCTCCCAATGCAGGGGGTGTGGGGTTGGGGAACTAAGATCCCACATGCCACACGTGTGGCCAAAAACAAACAAAAAACAAACAACTTCTCTTCCTCCAAAGACACTTTTGTTTCAGCATCTGAACACGCCAAGCTTCAGTCACCTGTGGACAAATGTTCTCTAGACCCCATTCCGCTGGCTTCTGGCTTATCCCGTCTCTGCTCTGTCACGAGCTGTGTGATATGACACAAGCCGCCCTCTCTCTATGCCTGTCCTCTTGAGGGAGCACGGGCAAGGTGACAACATGCCCCTCACGGGGGCCTGTGAGGTGCTGAGCGCAGGGCCTGGAGCCCAGCAGCAACTGCTGGCCACGGCAGCTGTCACCATCCCCCACATGCTGCCCCGGCTGGCTGACACCCGTGCCCTGGCAAGCCCTGCTTCCCCCTCCCAGAACGCCCTTTCCTACTCTGGCTGTATGAAGAGCTGGGCATGGTGTGGGCACACAGTGAGGGCTCAGCAAGTGTTCGCCACTATTATTACATTATTGTCACCAGCACTGCCTGCCTCCTCCCCCAGGCAGCCTTCTCTGGTTTCCCCTAGAAGTAGCCACCCAACCACAGCTATGCCCACCTTGGCTCCAGCAGTTCTCCCCTGCCTTGTGATCTCTACTTCTCCTCACCAGCCTGAGAGCTCAGTGGGCAGGGTCAGGCTGTTCCCTCATACAGGTGGATGTAGCTGAGGACAAGTCTCAGCACACTGGCACCCCACTTCCCAGCCTTTCTGTGAGTGGGAAGGTGGCATCACTCCTCTCCCCGTGTAGCCCCCCAGGTCCACAACTGGCCCAGGAAGGAGAGAAACTGCTGGACCTGCCTGTGGCTGCTGGGCACTCCTCTTTCTGGACTTTCATCCTCTGCTCCCATGGAGTCTGCCCTCAGGGAAGGAGCTGGTGTCAGCCATTCACACTCTAGTCTAAATTTGGCCCTGATGACTTTCCTGGAAAGTCTGGCAGTAGAAACCTCCTCTTGTCCAAAACCCATCTCACCCCTTATCTCTAGTCTGTTCCTCCCCACCTCTGCTGGGCTCCCATCTCTGTTGGTGGGGCCTCCAGCCTCCTAAGCTCCCTCCTTAGCACCCTGAGCCAAGGAGTTTAACCAGCCTGCCAATTCTGCCATCAGACCATTAATAAATCCACCATTTAAGGGGTACCTTACCTGGGCCAGGCCCCAGGCTATGTGCTGGGGACATGGAGCTGCCTCAAAACCAGGCCATGCCCTCTCAGAGCTCCTGTCTGGTGGGAGGCAGACAGGTAAACAAGAGGCTATAATACAAGGCATGTGGAGTCCTGATGGAGGAAGCAGAGGATGCTGTGGGCACCTGGAGCAAGCAACCAACCTGCCTCAGGGGCAGGCAGGAGACAAGGAGAGAGCTGGCAGAGCCAAGGAGCAGCCTGATGCCAGGCACCTGCCACCCCATGTCCATGTGCCCGAGGCCTGGCCGGCCATAGCCTGTCCTGCAGGCTGGGGCTCCTCCTGTGTGAGAAGCACTGGGCCTTAGCAGGCGTGATGTGAACCTTGAGGCTGGGGCCTTCCCAGCCTTCTGGCCCTGCCCAGGGCAGGGTACAAGGTCAAGTTTCCCACTGACTCATGCCCAGAGCTCAGGTCCCAGCTCTCATGTAACCTGAAGGCAAAAATAGAACTGGGCTCTGGCCCCACCTCAGGGCCCTGGAGGATGGGTACAGGGACTCTGGGTCCTGGCTCCGATGACTGTAAGGCAGGGCTGAGCTCTGACTTCAACCTTCTCTGGCTGCAGGCTGCCCTAACCCCAGCCCAGGGCCCTTGGAGCAGCCCCTTCTCTCTCCCAGGCCTGGGTCACAGGATCTCAGAGCTGAAAGGGAGGGAGACCAAGAAAGCCCTGGGACTATCAACTCTGACCTCCTCCACCAAACAGATGGGGAGACTGAGGCCCAGACAAGATCCAGATCTCCCCTTCTGCCCAAGGTTGCCCAAGAAGCACGAGCCCAGGTGTGGCTGGAACCCAGGCCTCCCCAACCTGAGTGGGCACCCTTGGGTTGAGGCAGAGAGATGGTGGAGGCTGTGACTCAAAGGACCCTCAGTAGGACAGGCAGGAAGGTGGTCTCCACCCTCAGGCAGAGTGATTTAGCAGGGTCTAGGCCTGGAGCCTCTACCTTACCCTCTGTCCAGAGCCCCCAACCCCCTTTCATCAGAGCTGAGGTCCAGAGTCACATGGACTAGGATTCCAGTCCTTAGGAGCTGTGTGACTGTGGGCAAATCATGAACCTCTCTGGGTCTCAGTTCCAGTATCTTGTAAAATGGGGATGAAGGTGGTGGTTGCCATGAAGACTCAAGGTCAACACCTAGCATGGGACCAGTTACACTGCAGCTCCCAGTAAACACCAGCCCTTCCCAGACTTAGCAAAAGCCCTCGACTTCCAAATCCCAGCTCATGGCCTTGCCCTCTTTCTCTTTCCCTAGTCTCCACTATCAGGCCTCCCTCGGGTCCACAGCCTTATGCCACATCACTTGGACGGCATGAAGTCTGCCTGCCTGGGTTCAAATCTTGCCTCTGCTGCTCACATGGCCCAGGGCAAGCCCCTCTACCTGTCAAATGGGGACAATACAGTGACTTCCTCAATCAGGTATGGAGATCCAGGCTTGACAAAACATGGACCACAGATTTATGGCAGCCAACTGGATGAAACACTGGTTGGGCCTCTAGAGCCTAAGTCTGGGGCCTGGAACTCACTGAGCGTTGGCCCTTCCTGATCCTCAGTTCCTGACTCTTCCCAAGCCATGCGCCTCAGTTTCTTTATCTGTAAAACTGGATAATGGCCATAGCCCCTCACAGGGCCACCCAGGCCACACTCCCACCCCAATCCCCAACTCCTCGACCAGTGTCCTGGGTACTCACTCTGCTGAATGGACTTGAGCCCACGGAGGCAGGTGGCCGCCAGCAGGAAACCACAGCCAGCTGGGGGTGTCCGGAGCTCTCCGGCCAGGCTGCAGGCGGCCCCCAGGCAGAGCGGGCCCATGGCGGCGAACTGCAGTGGGTGGTGGCGGCGGCCGAGCAGCAGCGCGGACAGGGCCAGCGTGATCAGTGGCGTGGTGGTGGTGGCCAGCTGCGCCAGGTCCAGGGGCACAGCGCTCAGGCCCACGTTGCCACAGGCCATCGAGGCGCCCAAAGTGAGGCTGAGCAGCAGCACTTGGCGGCGGGTGCGGCCGGGCATGGGGCGCCGTGCCCCCGGGTGGCATGCCAGCGCAGCTGCCAGCATGTGCAGTGCCGAGAGCAGCAGGGGCCGCCCGAAGCCGTGCACCGTGAAAATCCACTTGTTGAGGCTCGACATGCTGGCTCCCGCCAGTAGCCACACCAGCGCTGCCACGGCCACCCAGGCCCGGCCATGCCGCCGCAGCGCCTGCGGGGTGTCAGGGGGCCACTGGGGGATCCCGGCCCACCGAGCACCGCCAGCCACCGCCACTACCTCAGCTGAGGTCATCCTGCCGTCATGGCGCTCCCGCGGGCAGCGGCACATCCGTACCAGTGGGGCCGGGTCAGGAGGCCGGCTCCCCAGCGACCAGCTCTGGGCCACCAGAGAGCCCCACTGTAGATCCCGCTCGGTCTCAGGTGAGGACACTGCTTCTTGTGCCCGGCCTGCGGCAGCCGAGGTCCAAGAGCTATGCTGTGTCCCCGGCTCAGGCAGGGCAGAGCCTAGGTCGCTTCTGCTGGGATGCCAGGCTCCCTGGTGCTCAAGCCTGGCCTAGTAAGCGCCGGGCACCTCTGCCCCGTGACAGGCGAAGTCTCCACTCTTCTCCCCTCCTAGTGCCCACGCTATGCTTACATGGAATCCTCCATCCCTCTTCTCTTCAGTCCAAACCCCAGGTCCTCCAGCGTGCTCAGGCCAGGCCTGCAAGGGCGATCCGGGCTCCCGCGCCCGGTGGTGCCGGTGGTCGGCCTCGCTACCTCCGACAGTGCCCAGACCCTGCGGCGGGCTGACGCGCCGGCCTGCGCTGCGGCCGGTATCAGGCGGCGAGCTCGACTCAGCTCGGCTCCGGCAGGGCCTCCGCGCCAGCTCCGGCTCCCGGTGGCTCAGGCTGCTGCGGGGTCTCTCGCCAGGTTCGGGCGGAGAGCGAGGCTCCGTGCTCTAGGCCCCGCCTCCGCGGCCGCCCCTCGAGCCTCACCCGGAAAATTGGGCTGAGCCCCAGGCGCCACCTCCGTCCAGGCTCCGCCCCCGAAGCCGAGAGGGATGTCTCGCCCCTCCCCCACGCCGCCCGCTCGCAGCTCCTCCTCCATCAGCCTAGCTTTACCTCCGTCAGCAGACCTCCTCCTAGCTGGAGTGGTCAGCCTGTCTGTACCCCCTCCCCACACCGGTGGGGGATCAGGCCCCTCCCCACGCAGCGCCAAGGCAGGCCCCCCATAGAGATGAACACAGGGCGGGAGACCCTGGGGTATCTTTCTGAGGGAGCCTAATAAAAAGCCCTAGCCTCTCAGGAGATTTCATTTTCAAGGACACCCTCCCCCCAGGAGACCTCATCCTAGGACCAGTCTCGGAGCTACCCAATCTCTGGCCACAGTTATCCCGTGGGGCCTCTGCATCCGGAAGAGTTGGACCACGGGGCCCCTTAATACCCCTCCCTCGCCCCTCCCTAACCCGAACACCTCCTCCCTCTCCCAGCCCAGGGCGGGCCCCCTCTAGGCAGGCAGAGGGAAGCTGAATCACCAAGGCCACCCACAGCTGCGGAAGCAGGGTCCCGCCGGCCAGCATCTATCCCTGGCCAGCAGCCCCTGTCCCATCCCCTGGGCACTCAGAGCTGACTCACAGCTGAAATTCCTGGGGTCCACCCTCTGCCCCCATCCCTGACAGGACAAAGAGCCCTAGGTGGGCTGGGAGCCAGAGCAGCTGCCACCAAGCCTTTGCCCCTGCGTCGGTGTTGGGTAAACAGCACACCCCAGAGCAGGACAGGCTGATAGGGATTCCAGGCTGGGCCCTGGCCTCTCTGAGCTCAGGAGTCCAAGTGTGCAAGAATCACTGCCCACTGTGAGCCTCTTTCCTGACGTCCAGCTTCCTTCTCTGTGGAAGCTCCTTCCCACTGGGACACGGTTCACCCCTAGCCTGTCGTCTGACCAGCAAGTCCTTGATGGAGGAACCAGCAACCCGTCTGGAGGAACAAGACCGCAAAAGGAGACCGCTCATCTCGGTCCACGGCGCCCTCTGGTGGTCAGAACACAGAATGGCTGCAAGTGTCCCCTAATCCCCATCACAATCCTTGGACTGGGATTAAAATTCCCCAGCCTCACTACTGTTTCAGACCTGCTGAATTCAGGTACCCTCTGGTGAGCCCAGGGATGTGAATTTTTTTCATTTGCCTCTGGTGATTCTGACACCCGCAGAAGCCTGCAAATCACTGCTGAATAGTCCAAACTGTAGGGCAGGAGATTTCCAGGTGAAAGACCAAAATATGCAGGTATTTAGATGGCGTTTTTCTAGGAGTGGTTGTGGGAGGGAAACTGAGCCAGCCAAGGGGGAAGCCCCCTAGCACCACATTTCCTGAAGAGGAGGAATCAGGGCCCCTAAGGGTTAGATTCTTTTTGAGATTTTGTCAGTTTTCCAGTTAAGCTTCCTTTAATTAAAAAAACAGCAATGAATTAAAAAATAGTAAACACCCCCCAATCTTCTAAGAGCTGAGCTACTGCGGAGTGGTAGGCAGTGTCTACACCTCCTCCAAGACTGCCAAAAAGCACTCCCACCTGCCCGGCCTGGTGAGGGGTGAGCTATGAGGAATGAGGATTAACCAAGATGAGGCCTGTGTTGGCCTTGGTGGGAGGGAGAGAGCTGTACACCCTTGTGGGGGAGGGGGGGCGAGGGGGAGGCTGAGGGCAGAGCCCAAAGCAGGGATCGTGCAGCTTGAGTGGTGGTGGGGGATTCAGACCACATTTACCTGGCTCCCGAGCCCCAGTTTTTAACCTGCCTTGACCTGCAGGCAGCAAGACTCTCCATAGGATGTTCCCTTGTGGGAGAATGGTGGGGGTGGGCACCCAGCTTCACAGAGGGCAGGGCAGCAGGGGCTCCTTCACACCCGTTGGGGTCCACCTAAATGCTCAGAGCAGCCCCGAGCAGCCTGCCCCTGCCCACAGGCTCTCATATCCCTCCGGTCTGAGTGCTGCCCTTCACCTGCCACCCCCCACCGCTGCTGCGGGAAGCAGGTGATTCGGGGTGGGACCCTGAGAGGCACCAGGAGGGAAGAAGAACCCATTTCCAGCAACTGAGCTGCAGAGGCTTGGGATGGGTCTCTTCTCTTGTCGCTGCATGTCTCTAGACTAGTCACTTCACTGCAGGGCCTCAGTCTCCCCACCTGTGATCTACGATGAGCTCACAGGCATGAATGTAAACCGAGGCGCCACCCCACAGTTGTGAGTTAGGAACAGGCTGCGCGAGGGGACGGGGCTTGTCTGGAGTCACACAGCTCTAAATGCAGGCCAGACGCAAACCTGGGCCCCCATTCCAGAGCGGCCACTGCTTGTCAAACTCTTACTGTGGACATGACTGTCCTCCCACCCATGCCCCTTCTCGGGGTCCCTGCTGATGGAGCCAGACTAGACACATGACCCAGGGCCCAGAAGCGGGCTGTGCCAGTCAGACCCCTCTCCAGGCTTTGGGACACAGGCTAAGAAGATAAGAGGGCCTGGGGAATTAAACTGGAAGTCAGCAGAGTCACTGCTGGGGCCACGTTCAGAGGAAGCTGACGGAGGGGGAGGACACGGAGAGGAGAGAGCCTGAGGGTAGTGGAGGGATGGAGCCCTGAGCCCCAACTTCCATTTCCCTACTGCCCTTGGCTGCCCTTAAATTGGTGCGCTGAGTCTTTTCAGCAAATATCCTTTTTTATTTTTTTTGCCACCCCGAGCAGCATGTGGGATCTTAGTTCCCTGACCAGGGATCAAACCCATGCCCCCTGCAGTGGAAGCATGGAGTCCTAACCACTGTACCGCCAGGGAAGTCCATCAGCAAATATCCTTTGATTTGAGCAGGATTCAGTAGCTCCCTGTTGCTCAGAGCCAAACACACCCCGACTAAGACAGTTCCTTCAGAGGGAGGCTCACATCCAGACCATGGACGCTGAAAGCCCAGTGCAGGGGTGCTCCCTTCAGTTAAGTCCACCCTCCCCCTAGCCTGGCCTGGGACCTGCCACAGCTGGCCTCCCCTATATGGGAGAGCCCTGGCTTCCTCGGGAGGTGGGAAGGCAGCAAGGCGGTGCAGGGGAAAGGGCTGGGGTCAATGGGTAGGGACCTTGGCTCTGACACCCACAGGCTGTGTGACCTGAGGGAAGCTGCAGGTCTCTCTGAGCCTCCACCCTTCTGTGAGGAGAGGGTCCCAGGGCAGGTCCTGAATCCTCTCTAAAGTGCCCTTGGCCGAGATTAAGAAAGGACAGGCGAACAAGCACTCTGGGAATCTGAGCAGACATTTCACCTTCAAAACGGAGGCGGCGGGCTTCCCTGGTGGCGCAGTGGTTGAGAGTCCGCCTGCCGATGCAGGGGACACGGGTTTGCGCCCCGGTCCTGGAAGATCCCACATGCCGCGGAGTGGCTGGGCCCGTGAGCCATGGCCACTGAGCCTGCGTGTCCGGAGCCTGTGCTCCGCAACGGGAGAGGCCACAGCAGTGAGAGGCCCGCGTACCGCAAAAAACAAAAACAAAAACAAAAAACAGAGGCGGCTTTTTCATTTGGCTTTTAGATACTTGGATGTCTGTAAAGCACTTTTTTTTTTTTTTTTGCGTTATGCGGGCCTCTCACTGTTGTGGCCTCTCCCGTTGCGGAGCACAGGCTCCGGATGCGCAGGCTCAGCGGCCATGGCTCACGGGCCCAGCCACCCCGTGGCATGTGGGATCTTCCCGGACCGGGGCGCGAACCTGTGTCCCCTGCATCGGCAGGCGGACTCTCAACCACTACGCCACCAGGGAAGCCCTGTAAAGCACTTTTTAAATCGCTTACTTCCCCTACTTGCCCAGACCCTAAATATCGGAGGAAGAAGCACATGTTTAATCCATGGTGTGGACGGCCCTGTGAGAGTCACTCTGAAACCTGACATGCTGCCAGAGGGCCCCTCCAAGAGCAGACCCCTTTCCTAACCTCGGTGGGGTGGGGCTTGTGGGGTGCCTGCCTGGCCTGAACCCTACTTCCCAGAGGGCAGCCCAGAGCCCAGGCCCTCCCACAGAGAGGCAGGGTCTCCACCCCACTGGCCGCTGAGGCCTGGGGTGGCGCCTGACTGTGCCTTGGGGAAAAGCTCTAGGGTCCTGGGCCTCCAGCTGCATTTGGACTCTGCCATGTAATCCTAACACTTGCCAACTAAAACTTGTCAACCGCCATCTGCCTCTACGAGGATTAGGTCACTAGCTCCTGTAGCCGCTGACCTTCAACACACCCTGAAAGGAGTTCAGGGTGGAGACCAGGAATGAGGCACTCTGTGCTCTGGGAAAAACAGGCAGAACAGGCAGATATTTTCAGGAGAAGATTTTATGAGCCCAATTCTTGCATCTTCTCTTATCTAGAAAAGGACTAAAATCATTAATGGAGCCATCTGCTCCTGGTGACTAGCAGTAACCTTCATGAGACGAGCAGCAGGTCTCTGCCAAAATGTGTGTTTGACCACATGTACTCCCTTCGCTAAGATCATATATAGTGCTGACCCTTCCCCTACCTCTTCAGAGCAGTTTCTCAGAGCTATCTGAAATGCTGTCTCCTGGGCTATAGTCCTCATTTTGCCCCAAAGAAAACTTAACTCGCTACTCTCATGTTATGCTTTTTTTTGTTTTTTTTTTTTTAAGTCGACACAATCATGAAAGCCCCTGATTTTCAGTGTTTGAGTGGAGGAACCAGGAGGCCTCCCCAGGCCAGGTCTGTCGTCTCCTAAGCCACGCCCCCCCCACCAGACACTCTCCCTCTGTAAAGCAGAGAGGAAAACAGAAACATCAACCTCAGAGTTGTGCAAGAGAGCGTCCAGCAAGTACACACTCCCTGAACAGTAATCAGCGTCACCACTGCCAGCACCGTTCCTGTGCACCCCCCACCCGTACCCAGGAGAAGGCTCACACCCCTCCTCTGCTCCCCACGGGCCTCTCTCCTCCTTCTCTGCTCCCAGCCCCCGCACTGGCCCCAAGCATGAGACATCAGGACCCTGGGGCATGTGCACAATCAATTCTTTAATCATTTTGGAAGTGGGCTGACAGCAGCCCTGCAGAGCCCTCGCCAGCTGCTATGCCGCAGTCGGCTCTGGGGCAGCAGCCCCGATGGAGTGAAGGGTGGAAAGCTAGGGTCAGGGCCACAGAGCTCTCCTTGCGGCACCCCCATCCCAGAGCAAGCGGTACTCACAACGCCAGCAGCCGGTGGCCTCCTCCTGCCAAGGAGTCTGAGATGCTCACGCCCTCCAGCCTGTGAGTGGCCTTCACGGGACACCTGCAGGGCCAGGTGGGGCCAGACCTGGGCAGACAGACCTGCTGCGGAAGGTGCTGGGCTCCCTGCTCCAGGGTGGGTGGTAGTTTAGGACCCCCGCAGGGGTGGTGGCTGTGGCGATCCAGGGACAAGTGCACAAGAAGAGGCAGCAGGGTCAGGCGTGTGCCTGTTACAGGGATGTCTGGAGGGAGGGCAGAAGCCCAGGAAGTGTGGGAGGCAGCTGGGGTGGTGAGCCTGGGGTCTACCAGCCAACCAGCCTCAGCTCGATGGCTTCTCCATCCCTGGGTCTGTAGTCAGCAATACCTGCAGAAATATTGTGGGCTGGGAGTTAACAGGGCGGAGTGTTCCCCCCACCAACCTCACCTTCTGGACCCCTGCCCTGAGGCCACAGTCTGTAAGATGGGCTCAGGGCTTGGTGGAGGGAGACTGGGGGCCTGTCCAGAGCCAGTCTGGAGACTCTGAACTCAGTTGTGACCTCAGGGTCGCTGAGACCCACAGGCTCATTTTGCAGTGGGGGACCCCCAGAGGGTGTGGGTGGGTATGGGACAGCACGCCGGATAACCAACATAGGGCCAAAAGAACCAGAGACCCTGACAACACCTGACCGGCAGGGTCACTGTCTTCATAGTCCCCCAAAGGGCCATCAGGAAGAGGGACCTGCTCGGTGTGGTCTGGGGACCATGAGTGAAGTGAGCCTTTGCTCACTAGGGACAATCCAGGCTCCAGCACGACACCTTGGTCAAGCCCCAGCTCTGCACTCACTAGGGGTGTGACTCTGGGCAGGTTATTTAACCTAAGTGCTGGTGTTCCCATTTCTAAAATGAGGATAATAGTGATATCAACAACCGGGCCTCCTTTTTCCCCATGGGAGTGGGCTTCCTGCTGGAGTGGGAGTCGAAGGGGGTAGGTAGAGGACACGACCACCCACGTCTGCCTCATGGCTGAGTCCATTGGGCTCTCCCCCTCGGCTACCTCCTCTGTCCAGCCTTTATCAGTAATAGAGGCCAGATCTGGTCTCTCCATCTGTCACCTTTTGGTTTTATTTCTCCATTTGTCCAGAAGCCAGGCAGGAAAAGAGAATGCTTTTTACTGGGCTCCCTCAGCAAGTCCCACCTTCTGTAAAGCACTTGGCCCAATGCCCGGCCCATGGCAAATGCCCACTAGAAGTTTCAGGTAGCAGGAGTGGGGACAGATGACCCTTAAGAGTCTGTCTGGTAATTGGGCTGATGCTCAGGGATGCTTATGACAGCTTGGGGCATAAGAGTTAAAACTGGAGACACCCTAAAGGTCCAGCAGGAGTTGATAAGCTGTGGTCCACCCATCCCACTCCACGCCAGGGCTGGGCCCTAATTGGCCTAAGCCAGTCTTGCCATGGTCCCTTCTCTCTAGCCAATGATGGGTGCAGAACCTGGGCCATCTCCTAGCAACAGGGATGGGTCCAGGAATGCGCCTGTGTCCCAAGTCCGCCTTCAGGATGCCAGGAGACATTTGCAGGGGGATTCAGAGACAAGTTTCCCAAGTCATAAAAGGGAGCAGCCCCAGGAAGACACAGAGTAGGCTCTCTGGAGGTAGGAAGCCAGCAAAGAGAGGAGGAGAGTCACAGGGAGGTGGGGCTGAGGCTGAAGTCCTTGCTCCCACTGGAATCTGGTCACATGAGCCAATGGATGAGCCAATGGATGTCGTGGAAGCTAGTTTGTATTACATTTCTGTTACTTGCAGCCCAAAGCACCCTGCTGGATGAGATATCCTATGTGGCTATTACAAAGAAAGGCGAAGACCTACATACAGCAACATAGAAAGATGGCTACAATATGTTACGGCTGAAAAAAATAAATTGCAAAACAGTATATAGAGCTGTGCCATTCGATATGCCAGCCATCAGCCACATGTGGCTACTGAGTACTTGAAAAGTACAAAAAACAGGCATGCAAAATATGTCATTAATAATTTTGCATTGATTACATCTTGGAATTATATTTTGGATGTATTGGACTAAATAAGATGTATTATTAATGTTAGTTTCACCAACTTCAGAATTTAGAATTACACATGTGGCTCACATTTTATTTCTATCAGAGAGCACTGCTATAGAGTATGGCTTCATTTCTATGAAAAAACAAACGTACATATTTAAAAAATTATCTGGAAGAAAATACACCAAAAGTTAAAAGAAGTTATTTCTGGGTAGTGGATTACGAGCAATTTTAATTTTCTTCTTTTTTGCCTATCTGCTTTCCTAGAGTTGCCACAATAACGTATATAAAAGTTCTTCAGAATACAGTTAAATATATTATATGCAAACTTGAGCATCAGTGGTTATCTGAGGCTGAGGCCCAGGAAGGTTCAGGGGAAAGCTGGCGTGAGTCGACAAAGCCTCAGTGCTGGGACAGGGCTGGGCTGGGGGACACGTCTGGAGGGGGCTGGCCACCAGACTCACCTTGCAGCAGGGGGGTGTCGGGGGCTCGGAGGAGTTGCCAGAACTCACGTTCCCCAGCTTTCTTCCCCATCACAGAGGTCAGGTAGGGGCCTGACAAGGAGGCCTGTGTTCCATACCTACCAAAGCGACAGGCAAAGAGGGAGGAAAGGTGACTTTTGCTCCCCTCGACCCAAGGGCAGAAGTAGAACCACCCACACAAGGCAAGTCCTGCCCTCGCTCTCAGGGAAGCGCTAGCCAAACCCTTCCTGGGCCACCTCACCATGGGTGTCTCCTCCACACCTCCTCTCCAGCCCGAAGGACACCGCCCACTCGGGGGACTGCATCCCCTCTGGGGGCTGACATTGCAGGGGGTGGGAATCAGAAGCTGACAACGGCCCACGACAGACAGGGAGGCCAGCGTGAGAAAGAAGCAGGAACAGGCAAGACAGAGGCAGAGACGCCCAGTGGTGGCTCTGGGTCTCTGGTTCCATAAGTTTCTGTGGCTCAGGGGCACCCCCATCCTTATGGCTGGGTTGCTCAGTCTTCTCTCCGACTGTACACACCCCATGCTCCCCACTACCAGAGAGGCTTGGATTAGATTCCTGGCTTTTGCAACCAAGAGACTCCTTCTTCACGCCACCCCTCCCTGACGCCGCTGCCACAAACACAAAGGGATCCCGGATCCTAGTTCCCGGACCAGGGATCAAACCCGCACCCCCTGCAGTGGAAGCCTGGAGTCTGAACTACTGGACCGCCAGGGAAGTCCCCAAAGGGATCCTCTTAAAACACTGTGGCCCTGTCCTTCCTGTCTCCTTATCAATGGTGTTGTTCTTAGAGAGGGAGGGTTTTCATAGTTTTAAGAAACAGAAATACCCTCAGGGTGACCTGGTCAAAGGGAAGGTTTTAGGGAGCAGCACGTCCCCAGTCCTCCCTTAAGTGCGGGGCCACATGGCTGCCCGGAGAACCGCTCTGGACGGCCTCTCTCCGTTTCTCTCTCTCCTCTTTCTGTCTCTTTCTCTCCGTCTCTCTCTGTCTCTTTTCCTCTCTCTCCTTCTAGAATCCAGCTTTCTCTGCTGTGCACTTACATGCCTCAAATGCGCCTCCACACCCCCTCCACCACCAAGAGAATCATTTCTCAGATTGGTATCCCTGACGTTTTCTCAGAGGTCCTGGAGTTCTGAATAAAAATGTTAAGTTCAAATTTTTTTCCATTTTGATGACAATATCCAAACACGAATACCAGCAGGTTCTAGGTAATCCCAGGGCCTGCCGGACTAAGGCCTCCCAAGGGTGCCCAAGGGTTTGTGGCCCCCAGAGGACTGAGGTCGGATTGGTAATAAGTGGCATGTTCGGGGCCAGGGAAGAGTGTACAAGCTGCAGCTGCCTGTGCAAACTCCGCCTGACAGCAGCTCAAACCCAAGAAAGTGCTGAGCATGTCGGGCTCACTGGCACTGGTGTGTACACCTGCTCCTCGGCAGACAGTCCCTATTTGAATGTTATTGGTTTCACAGTTTTCTTTGTACTTAATTTGCAAAGCTGTTTAGGATTTAGAGCCGTCTAAGAGCCAAAAAGAGAAAGGACTTTAAATAGTAAACATTAGTACACATCTAAGTCATATTATTATAGAAATAACCTGGGGTCTGGGAGAATTTTCAGCCTTTATAGGGGTTTTTGCATATCTCTGGCCTGAAATTCCCTGCCCCAGATGACCCCAAGGTGCCAGCTGTGGGTCCTCCCTGGCAGCAGGATGCTGTCCTTTGGGGGCTCCAGTTGGGGACGGAAATTGGGACCCTCTCAAACTGAGGCACATTTTTCTAGAAGAGAAGTCTGGGGTCTAGTGGGGTCTGGTGGAAGGTACTCATTCTCTGGGCCAGATCCCCATTGGTGATCCCTCCCATCTTATTTAGGCACAGACACAGCTGGCACAGAGCAGTGCTCTGGAAATGCTTGTCCTCAGATCTGTCAAATCTCAGGGTGAGAAGCAAGTTTAAGGCTGTTGTCCCACCTCCACATTCTGCAGAGGGCTTGTTGCCCAGGTAATTAAATAATCACAGGGATTAGACCAAGATCGTTTGATAATAAAAATTCTTATTCTTCTGAAAGCTAACATGTATCGAGCATTTCTAAGTGCGGGACCCTGCACACAAAAAGCATGTACCATGTCCTCTCTGCGCACTAATTCCTGGACTCCTGCATGGTCTCTGGTGGATGCGGGGAGCACAACTGCCATCCTCATGAGCTGCAGGAAAATAACTGGCCTGGTCCCTAGCTGGACAGCGGCGGAGCTGGGATTCCAGATGCGGAGGGTTTGCCTCGGGAGCCTGCTCTCCTAATCATGATGCCTGTTTCCACCACAGCGTGGGTGAGTCGGCAGCGGAGAAGGTGGAAGAGAGCCCGGGCCTCTCCCAAGGGAACCCTCTCTCCATCCCTTGCCCCATCCATGTCCCATTTTGGGGATGTGGGGTCAAGTCGGGTGAGAGCTGGGAGATGCGGGGGGTGGGGGGGCAGTCTCACCTGAATCTGCTGTGCTCCTGGGCCTTCTTCAGGACATCTTCCAAAGAGGAGCTGACAGGGACAGAGACGGAGTGTCTGTACGAAGGAGAGATGCTGGAGACCTTCAGCGTGACATGGATGAACCCTGGGACTTGGGTCTGTGAAGGGGTCTCCGTAGCTGGTTCCAACAGGACTGTGCCAGGGAGAGGGGAAGGGGCAGCTGATCTGAGGGCAGGGGGCCAGGCCTTAGTCCTCCTTTCTTCCCTGGAAGACACTGTGGCCCATCGAGACCTCCTCCTTCCCCTCGGTCCCATTCCGGTCAACACCACCACCACCTGGCTGCCTTCCCAGCCTCCCCTGTCCCTCAGCTCCCACCACCCTCGCCACCCAAGGTCAGGCCCCTCGCTGGTTTTTCTGCCTCTAGTACCCCCCTCCCACCTCTCTGCCACAAGCACCCCCCACCCAGGGTTCTTTCTAGAACATACATGTTATCTCTGAGGGCCTCCCCTCCTTTTCACCCTCCTGCCTGCCACTCCAGCTCATTCTCTCAAACCCCACTCTTTAGTGAGACCCTTCCGCCCAACTCCAGCCTTGTACACCTCTGAGCCTTTGCCCTTGCTGCCCCCTCTCTGCTCTGCCTTTCCTCCCCTCTTCTCCACTGGCAAATCTCACCCACCCACCCCAGTCCCTCCCCCAGATGAAGCCCTGATTCAAGCAGCTAACTGGGACTCATTATGATGTATCAGAGCTAACAAAAATGTGTCTCTCGCCATTCATTCATTCGAACACTTCTGTACTGGGTATCACACAAGGGGCTGGAGATTCATGGCCCGCCCAGAGCTCACCATTTGATATCTCCCTCCCCACACTGTGAGCTTCTAGCATCTGTGACTGCATTTTAGCTGCCCGTGTGTCCCATGCACACCTGCAAACCCCTGTTGACTCAGCAAATCAAGATGGAGCAAGTTCCCTTCCTGGGACAGGCAGACCTCATTGCAGATTGAAAAGAGCAGGGCTTCTATGAAAGGCCCGGCTACCTCTTGGTGCCTCACAGTCTGGAGAGATGAGATCCACATAGCTCTTCTGGTTCAGGATGGGCAGCAGCTGAGAAATCATGAGAGGGTTCTGGAAGGCCTTGTGCTGTAGGCTGGCCAACAGAGCAGCCTTGGCCTTGAGGCATGCTGTGCCCAGCTCCACCGTGGGCCTAAGGGAGGCCATCAGCAACTGGTGATGGAATGGCGAAGAGGAGGTGGGTCAGCCAGCGGGGAGAGGCCAGGTCTTCCAGCATCCCACCAGTCCACCTCCCACCAGCCACCAGGGTGGAGCCCAGCCCAGACTCTCCTTCCCACCTGCAGTGCCAGAGGGGTGCTGTAGACATTCCCAAAGTGGCCCTCTGGGGTCTGGGCCTTTAGGATCTTCTCTTGCACTCTCCCGAGGGCCACAGTGATCCGGTTTCTCTGATTGGGGTTGAGGTTGGATAGCTTCAGACAGGAGAAGGCCAAGCCCGCCATGGCCAGTGTGTCTGCAAGGGACAGAGCCAAGTGGGGTCAGCCCGGGCAGGACCTTGGGGCAATGGGCAGCCACAGGAGGGCTGGAGGTAGGGGGACAATATGGTCAGAGCAGCATTTCAGAAAGTTTCCACCAGCTAGGGGTACCAACAGCCTAGTCTTCCCAGTTTCCAGGATGGCAAACAGGGATGGGTGGTCACCGTATCCCTGTCTGCTGCCTGAGGGTTAGAGGTTGGGGAGAGAGACTGGAGGAGGGAGGGCCAAGAGGACTTTAGCCTACACACTTGTTCCCAAACCTGCCTGCACTTTAGAATCACCAGGGGAGTTTGTTTGATTTTTCTTTTTTTTCTGGCCGTGCTACACAGCTTGTGGGATCTTAGTTCTCCAACCAGGGCTCAAACCTGGGCCCTCGGCAGTGAAAGCACAGAGTCCCAACCACTGGACCGCCAGTGAATTCCTCACCAGGAGATTATTAAAGGAGCAGGTGCCTGGGTCTACCCCCAGGTGGTCTGGTTTATTAGGTCCAGGGAGCTGCTTGGGCCCTGGGGGGTTTTAAGCTCCCCACCCTGGGATGATTTAATGGGTCCACAGTGGGTTTTCTATAAGCCTCTGAGGCAGAACAAGCTCTCTGCTGGCAGGGGCCCTGCTGCCTTCTTCTCTCTGGGTACCTACCCTCCCCACCTCCAACCTACTCCATCCTACCCTGCCCTATGCGAGGCACACACACTCACAGAACACAGCCAGGCCTAGAAAAGACCTTGCAATCATGATGACAAGAAAGGGCACTGGAAACCCAAGGTCACACAGTGAGGAAGCAGATCCAGTATCCAGGCCTCAGGCCTCTCAGCTCATTTGATGAGAACATCATAGCTGTGTATCCAGAACTTTCTCCATGCTGGGCACCATGCTATGCCCTTTACATGTAAAGCATCTTTTACTGAGATGCTGCTGGGGTGTTATTTTACCAGAGAAGCTGAGCCAGAAAGGCCAGCTGATCTGTCCAGGGTGACCTACAGTAAGTATGTGATGGAGGATGGGGTCAGGAAGCCAGTCCAGCCCCAGCGCTGGCTCGCAGCCCTTGCACCACAACAAACCCTCACCATTGCGCTCCTAGTGGACTCGATAGGAGGGGTCCCAAGGAAAGGTGAGCATGGGACCAGGGGTGGAGGCCTTCATTTGGGGCCAGGGGCTGGAGGAGTGCCAGCCTGGCCTTCAGGGTCTGGCCCACTCACCCACAGGGAAGTGGCCCTGCTGGAGATGCTGTTCGTGTTCCACAGCATACAGGAGCTTGCCCACCACGCTGTCATGGACCCGCTTCTGGTGGACACACAGGGCCAGGATGCCCAGGCTGTACTGGTAGTAGCTGGTGTGAGGGTGGCCCTGGTGATTATGCCCTGGGAGGGAGAAAACCACGGGGTGGGGCTGTCATGCTGGGCTTGAGGGGTGACCTCTCTGTCCCCTCCCAGCAACCAGCACAGCCAGCACTGGACCCATTGCCTGTACTTCCCGACACCGTCCTTTGGGTCGTGGGATCCATCTTTCCTTCATTCCCTTGACTCATACTTGCTGAAACCCCACTAAGTGTCAGGCGCTGTGCTTGGAGGTATGAACAGTGATGACAGGCCAGGCACAGTGCAGCCAGGGCCTCCGGAAATAACACAACCCACGCTCACAAGATCGTGATTATAACTGAACTGTGGACCGAGGTCCACGTGGCCAAATAACAGAGGTCTTTGAGTAGCTGGGGAGTCAGGGAAGGATCCTCTGAGTCAGGGATGCTGGGGAGAAAGGGCGGGGGAGAGGTAAAGGTGGAGTAGGAGTGAGCTAGAAGGGGAAGGAAACCTTCCAGATAGAGGGAACATATGTCAAGACGCTGGTTTGTGAGCTGAGAGAAGGCCAGGGTGGCCGGAGCCCACGGAGGGGCGGGCGAGTGGGTGAGCCAGAGGGTGGGTGGGCAGGGCTGGGCCTGAGGGCTGTGAACACAGCAGGCAGCAGGCCCTGGAGGATTTAAGCAGCACTAACAAGATCAGATTTATATTTAAAGGCTCGCTCTGTGTGTGCCAGATTGAGGTAGGAGGCAGGAAAGTTAGTGGAGAGAGGTAAGGAGTGAGTAGTAGGGAGGCTGTGCAGCTGTCCCAGAGGGGGGTAATCAGGCCAGTCTTGGTGGGTGAGCAGCAGGGCTTGCCAACAGAGTGTATGTGGAATGCAGGAAAGGCTTGATCAAGAATGGCTACCGGGACAGGCCCAAGCCTCTAGCAGATATGGAGACAGGCAGAATGGAGGGCAGGAAAGAGGCCTGGGGAGAAAACCCAAAGTTCTGATGTAGACGTTTCACCAGACAATGTTGTCTGATGTGCCCTCCCCCGCCCCGGCAGACCTCGCCTCCTCACCAATGGCCCCCTTCTCGTCCTCCAGGAATCGCTTCAGCTGTGAGACCAGCCTGTCCCCCTTGCGGCCTCCAACAAACTCGCAGTTGGCCCGGAGAGCGAGCAGGTAGAGGGCCAGCTGGCCCATGGAGGGCTTGGCCTCGGAGTCACTGTTGTCATTGCTGGAGGCAGACATAGGACAACGCCAGTTAACAACACTTCAGTGAGAAACTGCCACCCTGGTAAGCCTGGCTTGGGGTGCCCCACCACCACCACTACGAAGCGGAAAAAATCCTAGCAGTTGGAACGTTTCCAAGACCTGCCAAAAGCAGATGTAGTCAGTTATGTAAGTTGTGTATGTCACGCTTATTTCATAAAGATGAGAAATTAAACTCAAGGATAAACTCTGAGGGCTCTTGCATCCAAATGACCTGTTTGCCCCACCATTTTGGTCACACTTCACCCATACACTCTCCCCTTTCTTTCCTCTCCCTGCCCTGCATCCACTTCTCAAGAGGGAGTCCAAGCAGGAGATGCTCCATGGTTGTCCTGACCCTTCACCTCTCATTCAGACTCCTGTGCTGGACCTCAGAACAGGCTTCCTCTTAATGCCCCCTGGAAAGGGAGCACGGATAGTCCAATACTGCTGTTGGGCTCAGTATGAAAGAGTGTGGCCATGGATTAGTAATGTCTGCCTCAGGTACCGAAGGGTACAGTAGCCGCCCAAGGGCCCTGGATTGGCATCTCCAGTCTAGTCGGACCAACCCCATTCCACAGATGGAGAAAGGCCCAGAGGAGATGAAACTTGCCCTAAGGTCTCCCAACAAAGCAGTGACAGGCCCAAACTGGAACACAGATCTCCTGTCTCTTAGGATGTGGAGCACACCATGGGGAAAAGAGGAGAGAGAGCATGGCCAGACCTCAGGAGGCTCTGCTGGTAGCTGAGCTTGAGGCTGTGCAGGTAGTGGGCCTCCTTGGCCCCAGCCTGCAGGCTGGAGAGGCGCAGGCCCACGTAGATACTGGGGTTCAGCTGCTCCGGGGAGAGCCGGTCCATCCAGGGCAAGAGGTGCTGGCCCAGCCTCTCCACCAGCGTGCTGTCCACCTCTGTTATTTCTTAGGAAAGAGAACAGGCCAAGTGAGGTCACAGGGCCATGCCACCAGTGACACCTTACCAGGGTCTTCTCCAGGGAATAAACATCCCCACCTTACTGTCACCTGGCACACACCCTACTCGTATGCGGGAGTCCGACTGTAACGAGAGGCAGCGGTAACGGGAAAAGCCAGTATCCTGAAAGAGTGGCCGGAGTGGGCCAGGGAGAGCTGGTGGGCCCAGGGCAGAGGAAGCGGGTGCCAGGCAGCCACTCTGCCCATCAGGAGTGACAGAGAGACTGGATGCCGAGCGGCATGGGGTGCCGCAGGCACTGCACCCCACCTCCCTCAGTCCTCAGGCCAGCCCTGTGACGTAGGTACTGTCATCATTGCATTGCACAAAAGAGGAAACAGAAGTCCAAAGTTGTGGGAGTGTTCCACCCATTTACAAAAACTTCAACTCACACTGGGAACAGGTTACAGAACCAGTTTTAAAACAGAAATAGAGTCACAGATGTAGAAAACAAACCTATGGTTACCAGGGGTGAAGGGGGGCGGATAAATTAGGAGACTGGGATTGACATATACACACTACTATATATAGAATAGATAAGTAATAAGGACCTACTGTATAGCACAGGGAACTCTACTCAATACTCTGTAATGACCTATATGGGGAAAGAATCTTCAAAAAACGTGGATATATATGTATAACTGATTCACTTTGCTGTATACCTGGAACTAACACAGCACTGTAAATCAACTATATTCCAATTAAAAAAAAACAAAAACACTGCAGCCTGCCCACTGGCTAACTGGGGCTGCCTGGTGAACTTCCTCTGGGCAGATCTCAGAATAACGCTTTTCCTGCCCCCTCAGTTTAGGTGAAAAGGACCTGAGATTGTGAGGTGAATTGTTAGAAAGCCATCATCCTTTGCGACCATTTATCTGTGTGCTTCGGGATTTACCCACGAGGGAAGCAGAAGCCCTTAGGGGTGTTTCCCAGCTCCAGCTGACTGGCGCTTTCCTCCCGCAGGGAGGGAACCTGAGCTGAGTAGGTGGCCTTGGAGCCACTTTAGACTTTTCCCCATTTACTGCCTCCCAGTTGCTGTGGGGCTCCAGCTGCTGGGCAGGTCACCCCCCCCAGGGGACGGAGCAAAGGAACTGGGGAGGGGGCTGTTTCTCTTTTCCTTTCTCTTTCTCAGTGCTTTTCTGTGTGCCTGCCCCCATTTCTGTAGGAATCTCTCTCTCTCTCTCTCTCTCTCTCTCTGGATCTATCTCATTCTCTCCATCTCTCAGCCTGTCTGTCTCCTTATCTCTCCCTCCACAGTTCTCTTTTCCTCTCCCTTTTCTTCAAACTGGAGAGGGAACCCTGCCCCCACCTTGGGCTCTGACCTCCAGTGGGTGAGTCAGCCCTGGGATTAGCAGGATAGGAAGAGGAGCTGGTGCTGTAAAGAGAGGTGGGTAAACACAGTTCAGCTTCCTTAGCAGGAAGGAGCTGCTAAGATTCACCCGCGGTAATAAAAGTGGGCCTGGGCGAGCTCCCTCCCCTCAGGGCCTCCAGCTCACAGGGCCACCCAGCTCTGCCAGCTGAGGACTGGCTTTGACAAGAGGAAGCACGGAAGCCCACCCTGTATGGGCACTAGTGCAGATCTGTGTCAGTTTCACAGCCACACAGGGCTTGAACCTGGTAAAGCAGGTGGTGGGATCCTTGCATCACACCAAGGAGGAAGGCAGGGGAGCATTCTTAGCCCATTTTACAAGTGAGTGAATGAGACTGGGAGTGACTAAATGGCCCAGCAGCAGTGGGCTGCACCCCCGAACCCAGTCCAGGGCTCTTTTGGGGTCAGGCCTATGGACTAACTGTTGAAAGGTTCATACCCGCTGAGGGTGCCAGGTCTCCCCTGGGGACTGCCTGGACAGGAACCAAGAGCCAAGGGCTGAGGGGTCTGGTGGCACTTGTGGAACACGCCGGGCGGGAGGCTCCTGGTGCCCAGGGAAGACCGTGACCTGGAGTTCTGAGAACTGAGTCCAGCAAAGCCCTGGAAAGCTGGGGCACCTTGGGCAGGTCATCTGGCCCCTTCAACACTTGACTGCTTCATGAGCCACCTGCACACGACTGAACCTGCCTCTCGGTTTCTGCAAGGGTCACAGGAGACCCTGCTGGTGTAGGCAGAGCGAAACGCTGTGGGCAGAGGACGACCAGGAATGAAGAGAGGCGGGCGGCCCACCTTCCCTTCCTGCCTCTGCTTCCCGTGGGGCTCCGGGGCACGAGCAGCCCTGAGCCTATGCGCTCCAACTCCCAGACAGGTCCCAAGAGTTCCCGAGATACTCCCAGGGGCACCGGAGCAGGCAGGCCCCTGTATGGAATGTAAAGCAAACGCCTTGCCACCACCGTGACCCGCCAGGGTCTCCACACGCTAGCTTTCCCTCTGCCGGGGTGCCCGCCCCTCACTCCTTTCCTTGCCAGCTCCTTTTCCTCTTTCGGGTCTTAGTTCCTGCATCACTCCCTGGTCCTTGGAAATCCTTCCCACCCCTTCTCCCTGAATTGGCATTCCCCCACCCCCTCCAGGCCTTGGGCTTCCTTTGGCACTCATCACAGCCCCCAACACAGCACTGACTTGCCTCTTGACCACCATCCCCTTCACTAGAATGGAAGCTCTAGGAGGGAGGGGGGGAGACCTGTCTTGCTCTTTGTTCTTTCCCCAAAGCCTAACATGGTGCCTGGCACAGAGAAGGCTCAATCAATGTGTATTGAATGCATAAATGAACAAATGACTGAATTAATGGAAGTGATCTTGTCTGGCGGCGAGTCAGACATACAATTCATCTCAATACAATGTGCTACAACACTGAGGTCCAGCTAAGTCCAAACTGCTATGGGAGCCCAGAGGGGCAGCTAAGTCATCCCTGCCACACACACACATCTGAGCCCGTTTCTCCAGCTATATAATGAGGGGCTTGGACAAGATGGTCCTCTCTCCTAAGGACCCAGCAGGCAAGAGGCACGGAGTAGATCCAGGTACTCACCGCAGATCCGGGCGAGAGCTCCCAGGCCCCCAAGCAGGAAGAGGAGGGCCCCAAGGCACCCCATGCCAGGAGCAGGGGTAAGCAGCAGGCGGGGAGCAGGACAGATTCCTAGGGCTGGCCTGGCAGAGGCTCTCCTGACCACAGCAGTCACTGCTCCGGAAGAGGCAGCTTCCTGTCACTGATTAATCCCTCCACGCCCGGCGGCACGCTGCTACGTCACCAGAGAGAAAGGGGAAAAGGTCTGTAGCTGAGGGGAAAGGAAGGCCAAAGAACAGAGGAAGGAAGGGCAGGGCAGAGCAGGCCTTCCTGGAGGTCGGGGACAGGGGGAGGGGGAGGGCAAGCAGCGGTGGTGTGCGACATTGCGAAGCCAACCACATTCTGTCCCTGCTGCCCAAAGAGCCCTGGACCAGCGCAGGAGGTCTGACTTCTGATCTGCCCAAGTCTGTCAGACCACTCCTGTCCTGTATCCCCTTGGCTGTTCCAGCGGTGGACGGGCAGGGCTGGGGTGCCTACCTGGTACCCCTCCCAGAAGGAGCCCCTGAAAGTGTCCACCCTGGCCTGGGACAGGGAGCAGGACAGGGAGCTGCGACGGTCACATGAGCAGCGGCTGGAGTCAGCTGTTCTCTGCCGGGGGTGGGGGTGTGTGGAGTGCAGCCGAACCGGACCAGACAGGCCAGTTTTCTCAGCCGACCAGAAAGCTGGGAGCCTCCTGGAGACAAAACAAAGCCATTTAACGAACAAGACTTAATCATCTGAGACACAAAGCCATGGTTAGCAGGGCCACTTGTCAGGACTAGGAAAGTAACCTAAAAAAACTCTCTTCAAGGAGGAGAGAGAACAGAGGATTCCCCACCTGCCTAGGCCCACAGGAGAATCTATGTCCAAGAGTTAGCTCTGGAGGTGCTGTGTTACCTTGGCCAGGTGACTTAACCTCTCTGAGCTTGAAAGAGTTTCTCCTGTGTGAGCTGAAAGGGTTGGAGAAGATCATTCTAATTAAGCTCCCTTCCAGCTCAACTTGTGAAGATGTTATGACCTTAAAACATCTCTAATCACTTCTAAATAAAATTTTTATTGAAATAATTTTATGGCAAATTGCCACAGTTCAGTCTTTCAAGATAATCCAGTTTTGTGCCTGACTTATCACAAGCCAATAAATACAGACATAAATAAATAGAGACTGCATCTGTTTACGGAAGTACCTTATAAATATAAAATTAGATCGTCTAGTGCAAGGAGGCTGGGCATGGCCCATCAGGGTGAAGTTCCAGGGAAGGAGGGATGCCAGCTAGAGGCCCAACTTCTGCAGATGCTTGGGTTCAGACTTCCACGGGGGCCTTGGAAATTTGTGGGCAATGGAGCTGCCTTGGTTTGGGATGGGACTGCCCCGCTCCCCAACCCTCTGCCTGTGGCCAGTGGCAATGATTCTGTTTCCTGCCATCTCCAGGACAGCAGCCTCTGGTGAGAAGCAGCTTCCTTGGGAGAGTCACCTCTGATCCCTGAGGACTCGAATGTACCACAGTGACCAGTGGGGACGAGGTGCATTTCCATAGCTATCAGAAACAGAGTGACTGATTGGGGGTGGAACTGGACTGTTTCAGGTAATGCAGTCAGGGGAAGTGAAAAAGAAAAATGACTAAATCATTTGGTTCAGGACTTCTGTTTGGGGGTCTATAGCTGAGAAAGTAAAGATTAGCTTGGAATGAGCAGGTAAAAGTTTGCCTGTCCAGACAGGCACGGACAAAGCCAGCTGCAATATAAAAAGGAAACATTATTTCTCCCAAGGTCACGTTACAACAACTGTAAAGTGTCCCGATAACCATGCTGTGTGAGTGACTATTACTTGTACTTTTTTACCGGGATTTCTTTTTTCCCCTACAATCACAAACTATCAGGAATTTGCTGTCTGAAATTATGTTAGTAAGAAAGAAACAACCCCAGAGGCGCCAAGTCACTTTGACACAGAGAAGTTGCCCCAGTATGGAATTCCTGGACTCAACGTTCCATGCCTGTCTCAACTTTGTAGTTTCCACTTAGACAGGATACTTTGCTGTCCAAACCTGAAGCTGACACTTCTCACACAGCCCTGTGCTATGTTGAGTCTATCAAAATACTGCTTGGTTGGGACTTCCCTGGCAGTCCAGTGGTTAAGACTCCACATTTCCACTGCAGGGGGCACAGTTTCAATCCCTGGTCAGGGAACTAAGATCCCACATGCTACGTGGCACGGCCAAAAAAAAAAAAAAAAGCACTGCTTGGTTTACATTTCACCTAACCTAACCCCACTCTTCACCCAAATCCTGTAATCACCTTGCCCTCTGTGTAGTCAGATGCCCTCAGTTCCTCCCCCTCATTGCAGTGGATCAACTGAGCTGACTGTCAGACTAAAGGTTTGTTCTTGGTGGTCTCAGGACGACTGGACTAGGATACAGCCTAAGAAAGAATCCAACAGGAAAAAAATTAAATTTTATGCATGAACAAGGATATATTGTACAATACAGGGAATATAGCCAATATTTTATAAGAACTATAAATGGAGTATAACCTTGAAAAATTTTGAACCCCTATGTTGTACACCTGAAACTTATATAACATTGTACATCAAGCATACTTCAATTTTTTAAAAAAAAAAGGTGAAGTGAAAAAAAATTGTATGTGTGAAGGTGGCATGAGAAGAATATAATAAATACATGGCTGTATCGTTACATATGGAATATCCATTTTCTTAATTAAAAATGTAAATATATTAAAATCTTAGAGTCCATTTAATGTAGAAAGATGTTCATAATTAATCTTAAATTTTAAAAATTATATAAGTAAGATATGTGGATTGCATGAAAAATCAGAAAATGTGTTAAGGGAGAAGAAGGAGGTAGAGGAAGAAGAGGGAAAGAAAAACCAGAAAATCACTGATAGTCCCATAACCCAGAGGATTGTTCTCAAAGTGTGGTCTGTGGATCCCTGGAGGCCTCCAAGACCCTTTTAGGGGGTCTGTGAGTTCAAAATTACTTTAGAAAATACTAAGACATTATCTGTCTTGTTTGCTTTTTGGGTATTTGCACTCATGGTGTAAAGCAGTGGCATCTAAAACTGCTAGTATCTTAGCAGGAATCAAGGCAGTGACACCAAACTGTACTAGTAGTCACTGTATTCTTTACCCCCGTGCACTCCAGGGTGGGGAAAAGCTGGTTTCACTTAAGAATGTCCTTGATAAGGCAAAAAAAAAAATTATTAAATCTCAACAGCAACACCAAAAAAGGGGTCATCCCACAGACCTGGACTCTAGTTTTGCCTCTGTGACCTTTGGCAAGAGACACCCTTTCTAAGCCTGTTTCTTGTAAAATGGGCGTGTGGCACTGTGCTCACAGGTTTCTCATGAGGATCAAATGAGAACGCTTATAAAATGCTTACCACCGGTGCCTAGTGTGGGGTTCGAGCTCATAACACTTTCAGCTCTCATCAATAACTATCCGTCAAAATCCAGGAAAGAATGTTACAGGTAACAGTCAGTGTCCACTTAGCAAGTTTCCAAATTCTAAGGATCTGGATTCCAGCTAAGTAAGAGAAAACAGCCTTGCATGTAACACAAGACTGTTGGACCATCTTAAGCCATGCAACTGAAGAGGTTCAGCTCCAGCCTCCCCCAAACATGCCATGGCATATGGATTCTTTTGAGCTAAAGGAAATCAAGACCCTGTGGGCTCAAGAGAAACATCTGTCCCTCCCTTAACTACCTGGAAGCACTTACATTGGAAGTCTCTCCCAAAATGAGAATTATTACCAGAGATGAATCTTATCTGAGTGACCCATCTGTGTGGCAGGGCAAATATCTAATTACCAAATGTTTGCTCTTTTGCTTCTTGTTCCTGTGAATTGCCCTCCTTCCTGTTGAAGCCCCAGGTCCCTATCCCATTCCTTAGCTCAGGATGGCATAAATACCTCATTTTACCTTTCTATCTTTGAACCTCTCATGTATGTGGGGTTCTCGTACTTACAAAATTAAATTTGATTTTCTGTTACTCTGTCTCATGTCAATTTGATCATCAGACCAGCCAAAAGAACCTCTGAAGGGTCCCAACATAAGGCTGGGAAATATCAAATGATGCTGTGGCAGGATTGGAGTAATCCTGTCCGACAGTCTTCCCCTCTTTCCCCTGCATTCCCCCTCCCTCTTCAAAGGCTAGCGGTCTTGACAGGACCTCAGGAGGGGACACACTGGATTCCTACTTGCAGGTCCCAGGAGAGCTGCTCAGACAGATCCTTGGAACTGTTCTGAATTTACAGGCGACTCTTGCAGAGGTCTGGGTCCAGCTTCAGAGTAAATATAGGGCTCATCTTCCTTTCCTTTGGCCACTTATCCAGCCAAGGAGAGTATTCCAGGCAGAGGGAACAGCATGTGTAAAGGCTGGAGGTAGCCGAGGAAAGAGGATCGGCAGGGAAACAGTGGAAGAGGCAATGCCTCCAGGTCCTGGTGATCAGAAATGGCAGAGCTAGGGACTTCCCTGGCGGTCCAGTGGTTAGGACTCCGTGCTTCCACTGCAGGAGGCGAGGGTTCGATTCCCAGTCGCGGGAACTAAGATTCCGTATGCTGCACGGTGCAGCCAGCAATGGCTGAGCTAGAAGGACACCTGGCATCTGACCAACTGAGCTCAGATGCAGAATATGCCCTTTACTTCTGTGTGGACTTGGGCGTGTTAATTTCTCAGCCTCCATTTTTTTAATCTCTAAAGGGGTCATAACAATACCCACATGTGGGAGAGTTTTCATGAAGATTCAAGTAGGTCAAGAAACTGGCCCGCAGTCTGTGTTCATGAAACAGATTCTGACTCAAGATATAAAAACTGAGTGGCCCCTGTACCAATGGACATACATCTTTTTCAATTAGCCCTCAGAACAGCTCCATCATCCACCAGTTTGTTAATGAAGAAACTGAGGCTCTGAGGAGACAACTGACTGAGGTCATGGCAAGCAGTAGCCAAGGGACCTTCCTCTGCTGTTGCTCCTGCCTTTCTGGGAGCGCTTCCATTCCCACCGTTAAGACCTTCAATAATAATGAAGACTGTGGGCTTCCCTGGTGGTGCAGTGGTTGAGAGTCTGCCTGCCGATGCAGGGGACACGGGTTCGTGCCCCGGTCCGGGAAGATCCCACATGCCGCGGAGCGTCTAGGCCCGTGAGCCATGGCCGCTGAGCCTGTGTGTCCGGTGCCTGTGCTCTCAACGGGAGAGGCCACAACAGTGAGGGGCCCGCATACCGCAAAAAAAAAAAAAAGATGGTTATCCAAAGAACCCTTAAAACTCAACAATAAGAAAACAAACAACCCAATTTAAAAATAGACCAAAGACCTGAACAGACATCTCACCAGAGATGATATATAGATGGCAAATAAGCATATGAAAAGATGCTCCATTTCATATGTCACCAGGTAACTGCAAATTAAAACAACAATGATACCACTATATACCTATTAGAATAGCTCAAATCCAAAACACTGACATCACCAAATGTTGGCAAGGATGTGGAACAACAGGAATTGTCACTCACTGCTGGTGGGAATGCAACATGGTACAGCCACTTTGGAAGACAGTTGGCAGTTACTTACAAAGCAAAACATAGTTTCACTATCAGATTCCACAATCGTGCTCCTAGCTGTTTACCCAACAGATATGAATACTTATGTCCACACAAAAATCTGCATGTGAGAGTTTATAACAACTTCATACATAATTGCCAAAAACTGTAAGCAACCAAGGTGTCTTTCCATAGGTGAATGGATAAACATATTCTGGTACATATATACTATGAAATATTATATAACTGAAAATAGCAATTAAAAGAAATGAGCTATTGGACTTCCTTGGCTGTCCAGTGGTTAAGACTCCACACTTCCAATGCAGGGGACGCACAGGTTTGATCCCTGGTCAGGGAACTAAGATCCCACATGCTGAGTGGCACAGCCAAAAAAAATTAAAAAGTAAAATAAATGAGCTATTAAGCCACAAAAAGACAGGGGTGAAACTTAAATTCATATTGCCGAGGGAAGAAAGGGGCAAGACTGAAAGGTCTCCAATTATTCCTATTACACAGCATTGTGGAAAAGGCAAAACTATGGTAAATAGTAAGAAGATCAGTAGTTGCCAGAGGCTGGGGGGAAAGAGTAGGGGAACGGAGGGTTGAATAGGTGAAGCAAGTATGGCAAAACTGTATGCGAGTATAATGGTGGATATATAATACTACATATTTGTCAAAACCTATAGAACTTTACAGCACACACAGTGAACCTAACGCATGCAAATTAAAAATATATTATTCAGGAGACGACGGGATCCCAGGATAGAATGCAGAATGTGACAAACAATCTAATTGTATTACAAATGTATGAAGCAACCTCACCAAAAGAGTGGGGGAGGACTTCCCCGGTGGTACAGTGGTTAAGAATCCGCCTGCCAATGCAGGGGACACGGGTTCGAGCCCTGGTCCGGGAAGATCCCACATGCTGTGGAGCAACTAAGCCCGTGCGCTACAACTACTGAGCCTGTGCTCTAGAGCCCACGAGCCACAACTACTGATGGCCGCACGCCTAGAGCCCATGCTCTGCAACAAGAGAAGCCACCGCGATGAGAAGCCCGCACACCGCAACAGAGTAGCCCCCACTCACCGCAACTAGAGAAAAACCCGCACACAGCAAAGAAGACCCAACACAGCCAAAAATAAATAAATTTGTTAAAAAAAAAAAAAAAGAGTGCTGGCCTAAGAAACTGTGATGATGAGTCGGGTCTGTAGAATAAAGGCAAGAAGATCTGCACATAAACACTATATCATGAGGGTGAGAGCTAATAATTCTGATGCTAGCAGACATGAGTATTGGAATTGAACAATTAAGCAAATGGATGGCAGGTTACAGAAGTCAGGTTTCTCACTGTTGGAGTCGGGGTTTACAGACATGCAAGGGGAGGAGGCTAGAATGATCTGTGTGGTGACGGTAGTGGTGGAGACATCAGCATGAATTCATGTTTAGCTAAATACAGACAAAGATGGTTACATCCAGAAATAGTTATAGGTATGTGTGTACACAACAGAACAGTATACACAAACATACTTTTTGCTGTCAGCTGAGAGGGTCTAGAAGCAAAGACAGCACAGTAGCAATAAGATTACTGAGTGCCCAGATTTTGATTTATAATGACCATTCTCCAATAAAAGGAACCAGGTTCCCCTAATATGACTGATACTAGGACTGGGACAAGAAATATGCAAGATGAGCCTGGAGCATCTTATAGGTCCAGAAGGTAAGGAAGTACACACATGCACACATGCACCCACACTGATCATGTCAAAGGGATACAGGAGCAAACTGAAGGGGGGCCCCTACTGGCCAAAGCTGGAATAATTTGAGCAACAAAAGTGATATTAGACTATAACCCAAAGTAAAAAATAAATATCCATGCTTACATACTGATATAAATAAATGATTCAACAAATAAATAAACATTGACATACACTGAATGTTTGTGTCCCCCCAAATTCATGTGTTGAAACCTAATCCCCATGCCATGTTTTCTGGAGGTGGGGCCTTTGGGAGGTAATTAGGAGCCATCATGCATGGGATTAGACTCCTTATAAAAGATACCCCAGTAGATAACTAACAAGGACCTACTGTATAGCACAGGGAACTACTTAATATCTTGTAATAACCTATAATGGAAGAGAATGTTAAAAAAAAGAATATATATATATAAATATATCTATATAAATAAAATAACTGAATCACTTTATTATACACCTGAAACTAACACACTGTAAAACAACCATATTTCAATAAAATTTTTTTAAAAAGAGAGACCCCGGAGAGAGCCCTCACTCCTTCAGCCATGTGAAGACACAGTGAAAATTTGGCTGTCTATGAACCAGAAAGCAAGCCCTCACCAGACACCCAATCTGTCGGCACCTTGGTAGTGGACTTTCCAGCCTCCAGAATTGTGAGAAACAAATTTCTGTTCTTTGCAAGCTACTTATGGTATGGTATTTTGTTATAGCAAGTCTATGGTATTTTGTTATAGCAGCCCAGACAGACTAGGACAAATGGATAAGAGACAAATCTCTCATGCAGAAAAATTCCCAATAATGTATGTAGATACTCTGCCTTCAAGGAGGGGGAGCATAACTCCCCACTCCCTAAGTGTGGGCTGTGCAGAGTGACTTCCTTCCAAAAAATACAGTACGGAAAGTGGGTGGGAGGAAGAGCATCTTTACAATCGAGAAGCCCAACAAGCAATTCATCAACCAAATGACCAAAGCCAAGGTGAACAATCATGTTGACAGCGTACACCCTTGATAGGATGTGATGAAAATGGCACTTCGCCTCTGTGGTCTTCTTCCTCCAACCCACAGTTTTTTAAAAATTTATTTATTATTTATTTTATTTATTTATTTTGGCTATGCTGGGTCTTAGTTGCAGCATGCATCTAGGATCTAGTTCTCCAACAAGGGACCCAACCTGGGCCCCCTGTATTGGGAGCGCGGAGTCTTACCCACTGGACCACCAGGGAAGTCCCTCCAACCCCCAGTTTAACCATGAGTAAAAAAACAAATTCCAAACATCCTGCAAAATACCTGACCAGGACTCCTCAAAACTGTCAAGGTCATCACAAATAAGGAAGGTCTGAGAAACTGTCACAGCCAAGAGGAGCCTAAGGAGACATGACAAATGTAACGTGGTGTCCTGGAACAGAAAAAAAAAAAGATATTAGGTTTAAAACTAAGGAAATCTGAATAATGTATATTAATAATAAAGTATCAATACTGGTTCATTAATTGTAACAAATGTACCATACTAATGTTAGATGTTAATAATAAGAAAAACTGACTGTGGGATATATGGGAATTCTCTGCACTACCTACGCAATTTTTATGTAAAGCTAAAGCTGTTCTAAAAAATAAAGTCCTGGCGACTTTCCTGGCAGTTCAGTGGTTAAGACTCCACGCTTCCAATGCAGGGGGTGTGGGTTCGATTCCTTGTCGGGGAACTAAGATCCCACATGCTGTGTGGTGTGGCAGGGGGGAAAAATTAAAAATAAAATCTATCTATCTATCTATCTATTTATTTATTTATTTATTTGGCTGCATTGGGTCTTAGTTGTGGCTCGCAGGCTTCTCTCTAGTTGTGGCACGTGGGCTCAGTAATTGTGGCACGTGGGCTTAGTTGCCCCGTGGCATGTGGGATCTTAGTTCCCCAACCAGGGATCGAAGCCACGTCCCCTGCATTGGAAGGCAGATTCTTAAGCACTGGACCACCAGGGAAGTCCCCAAAATAAGGTCTACTTCTTTTAAAAAAAAAGGAGGAGTCCTTAAAATCATCATCTCATCATTTCTGTGGACTTTGAAGGTATTTTGCTGGTGTCCTTAAATAAATACTCCTATGTTCTGGAGGGTCTATTGATTTTAAGTGTAAGTTAAAAATTTTGGATAATCATTTAAAGAACAGAAACAGTATGTAAACTAGTAGAAGGACAAACAGAATTATTGTGGGGAGAATTTAATCTAAAAGAAAACAGAAAGGAGGGGGAGAAAAAAGAAACCCAGAAAAACTGAATAGGTAGAACAAAAATAAGACAGAAGACAGAAACCCAAATATATCAGCCATCACAATCCATGTAAATGGATTAAACTAAACAGTTCAAGGGTGAAGACTATCAGGTTGGTTTTTAAAATACCCAGCTATATTCTGTTTTCAAGAGAAATTCCTATAACATAAAAATGCAAAAAGATTAAAAGTGAAAGGTTAGAAAAAGATATACCAGAAAAATACCAACCAAAATAAAGCTGGCTTAGCTATATTATTATCAGACCAAATAGCCTTAGGCAAAAAGCATTAATAGAGACAAAGAGCATATATCAGATTGTATTTTGCAAAGATGGCTGCAACAATACCCCATCCCACTGTGGTCTTCTATAATTTTGTCATTCATTCACAAAGTCTAAGTCCTCTCCCTTTGAATCTGGGCAGATTTGTGACTTGCTTGTAAGTTGCAGAATATACAAGAAGTGA